GCCCTTAGGTATACCCTTTCTATAATAGCTATAATAGCCTTATAAAAGCCTAAGGCATATAGTTAAACTAGTTAACTACCCTATTAACTTATAATATTTTAAATAATTGCTGTACAATAATTATTTCTATTATTAGGGGGGCACTTGTTATAGGACAATATAGCTAACCTTTAGATCTACTTTCTTGGCCTTGCCGGTGGATCTATTAGTTAGGCCAATATCCTGCCGACAGCTGGTGCCCCACTAGGCCCCACCTGTCGCCAGTCTATAAGACTGGCCGTTGCTAGCTGTAGCTCTAGCTCTTAGTTAGTCATTAAATCCATCACCTATTTAACTGTGTCAGAGGGGATATAGGTAAAAGTAAAAGTAAAGTAGAAGTAATATTTTAAGTTTATTACTTATTATTATTATAAAGTAATATAACTATAGTAGATAAGTAGTTAAATAGTAATATAGGTAGCAACTATAACGTTTTATAGATATTACTATAGACTATTAAAAAAGAAGAGGCAGAGGCAGCTAATTAATTAATTATAAAGAAAATTAATTAGTATTAACCTAGGCTTTATAACCTGTGAGAGCAGCAAAGTAAGGCAATATCTATTGATATTGGTGATAACTATGATGTGAAGCTAACTAGGAGTGGGCTGCCTGCAGTAGGCAGAGGCTGGCCGAGAAGGAGGTGGAGGTGGGTCACGTGACCCATGGGCTCCTCCACCAACAATTGCTCCAACCAGCCGGAAGGCTTTGCCGTTATTGGCCACCTGTTATACCAACACTGATCAGTGTTCAGTTCTGCTATAATAGTCCGGCCGGCTGTTATAGTAGAATTAACTACAGATCAGCAAGGTCACTCACAGAAGAGGCAACTATCGCCAGTTGACTGTTCGCACGCCCGGAGTAGGCAAGGACCAAAAAACGCCTCTGCGAATACCCTCACTGCAATATTGTGCTAATCGCCCATCACAACGGGTTGATTAACGGATCTGCAACTGGTCCCCTCGACCAGCAGAAACCCCGTTAATTCACGTCCATCACGTGAGCTCCGTCGCCTTCAGAGGAGCACTCTCGACTGCAAAAAACCCCTCAATTTGCACGCCAAGAAAACCAGCAAGAAAATCGCGCATCTACCCCTATTTCTACCTAGCCGACCTGGCCCCACTTATCAACACACCGTTAGACTGTTGGGCAGTTGGATAAAGGGCAATTGGATATTTGGATAAAGGGCCGTTAGATAGTTGGATCATTGGATAGTTGGATGGATAGTTGGATGGATATATGGGCAGAGGTCTGGTTCACAAGAGAAAGTTGCCAGTGTTGGAACAATTGGCATCCTTAATATCCAGGCAGATCCAGGCAGATATCCTGCCGGGATATCTGGAACTGGAACAACCGGGACACCGGTTATAGCCCCTATATATATTGCCCATCCGGCCAGACCCCCTCTTCTAGATTCCTTCTACTCTTCGGGCAATAGTAGATAATATGGGAGCAGCAAAGTGAGGCAATATCCGTTGATATTGGTGATGTGTAGCTGACTAGAAGTGGGCTGCCTACAGTGGGCAGAGGCTGCCTGAGAAGGAGGTGGAGGTGGGTCACGTGACCCATGGGCTCCTCCACCAATAGATAATCAATCAAAGATCTATTGCTCCAACCAGCCGGAAGGCTTTGCCGTTATTGGCCACCTGTTATACCAACACTATGCTTTAAACAGGATAAAGGAGCCCAGAGGGCCTAGCTCTACCAGAGGCTCGTTGGGCCAGACTGTTGCGTTATTACACTGCTCTGGGCAGCAATTATCTGGGCAGGCAACAGCAAGGTCCTCCGGCAGCATCTCCACGTGAATAGTGCTGTAAATATAGGTATCAGAGTCAGACATTGTAGATTTTAATGAGGATGTTGGTGATAATGTTAAAATTAGTAGTAGTTACATATAAAATAGCATTCTAAAACAAGGTACTATCATGTATCTCCGAAAGTGAGGGACAAAAGTGGGGATAGGTCCACCAAGAGGTTAATGAGGTCCGCTTGCAACTAAAGGGATAAGGCGTTGGTTGCTGCTCTGCGACTAACGGCGTCGTTTTTAGTATGACAAGAACTAAATGCGAGAAGCCAGACTTGTGAGAATCCATTAGAAATCTCGCAGGGAGGTAGCATAATGAGCCGTTGCGCCGTTGAAGGAAGGCCAAAGGCCAAACAAGGGTAATACTTGTCCAAAGACTAGGAAGCGACAGCGATGACTCGTCTGCCTGCATGATGGTGTGTTGCAAAACAGTAGATTGGCCTGATCTCATTGCCAAGGACACAAGATTTGGAGGTTCCCCAAAGACGCTTGGTCAAGATCACTTCCGCCTTCCGTCTGGAGAGAAGCCGCTCTGATCTACTAGTGCTGGTGAGGTAGTTCCTTTGTTTTGAGCCGTTAACAGGCTTACTACAAGAAGGGTGGCTACTACCGCTGGGGTCTCTTGAGTCGTATCTGATTGCGCATGAATATCCGTACGGAGTACAGTGACGTGCAAAAAGTCCGGGCCCACCCCCTTATTTCCCTCCAGCCCCCACACATGTACCCCATCACTTTACTCCGTACAACAAATAGAACCACAAAATTGATAATATACTCCTAAGTCCGTGTGGTGGCAGAAACAGGGATCTAGAAAGGCAAAAGCAGGTATTAGTCATTTACGTCAGCAGGAAGTTAAGGCGTAAGAACAGTAAATAAAGGGCAAGTGGGCAAGTGGGTGGATAGGTGGATATGCTGACCGCTTTCTATGATAGGTTTAGCGCTGTAAGCGGCCACTATCCCCCTTACCGTTAGCTTGTGGATTAGCTATGGGCGAATTTACTGAGAAGATATGGTATCCCTATGTCTGACATCTGATAAAGGTCTCTTTGGGGTTAAAATTGTCTCAAAAGTTAATTTAGATTATTATCAGATGCACTTGAAGCTAATAGAGATAGAGTTGTTTTCTCCTTTTCTAAGGAAAAAGGGGGCTAGCCACTCCGTAGTCTGTGCAGGTTTAAGCAGGATCGCTGTTGATCAATCTTTTGGGGGCTGTGTTCTTAAATCATACGTATACTTGCTATACGTGAACGGGAGTCGCGGAAGTCGCCTTACAACGGAGTTGCCGTTGCCCCTGTGTATACATATACATATATCAAACCCCAAGTGGGGTTTTCCAATCTAAAAATTGAGAAGAATAGTGTTTGTTTCTCTACAGAGTGCCATAACACATCCCGGCCTCGATCGATCTCTGCATCGGCAGCTCCGTGTACCGATCCAAATGTAACCTGAGTGACCAGGAGCTAGCGTGGGGATCTCAAGTGTTTAGTAAATCGGGCATAGCTAAAGACTCAAGCCACTACAGAGTACATATTTAAGGACACAGTCATCCCACTCTAATAGACTTTTACAGTCAAGGTCATCATCCAACCACTTACATTCGCTTACCCTATTCCTACTTATCAGCACCTACCTACTCAGTCCCTCTAGTCCTCAACATGCGCTTCTTTCAGACAGCCGTCTTTGTCTTTAGCCTGTCCAGTGCAGCATGCGCCATGGTTTCCCAGGATGGTCATCACGAAGCTGGTGGTCTCGAAGCTCGCAACCTCGAAATTGATCTCGAAGCTCGCAACCTCGAAGCTGATCTCGAAGCTCGTGACCTCGAAGCCGATCTCGAAGCTCGTGACCTCGAAGCTGCTCTCGAAGCTCGTGACCTCGAAGCTGCTGCTGATCTTCAGGCTCTCTACGAAGCCGATCTCGAACGCCGCGAACCTAAGAGAAAGATCAGGAAGCCCAAGAGACCTAACCGGGATCCCGGATGTAAACCCAAGAACGCAATGTGCTCTTCTCACAGCGTATGCTGCAGTGGGAGCTGCGACATGGAAATCGACTTGTGCAATTAATTTTGGTAGTTTACATCTCTACCACTCTTCCATGTTGTACCCCAACCTTTTTGGCCCCTATTAACTTCGCTTGCAAAGCCAAGCGGAGAGTGTGTCTGAAGGTAGTTGTCTGTGAGGTGGTTTCTGCCGCCTGGATATGCGATTAAAGGAGGCCTAAAGAGGGAGAAACGAGAAAAGTGGTGTGATGGGGTGGCTTGGACTGGCAGCCCACGATCCAAGCAAGGGATAGCCAATCCGGGTAGTAAAGGAGAAATGACTGTCGTTACAGCAAGCGATCCGTAAGATACATAATGCACATTTTTTACCGTAACACAGCTGCTCTATTTTCAACCACTACATGCGAGCCATCCCCATATCCGAGCCACTATCACCACCACCATCACCACTTATTTCGCCAGGCTTGCCTCCCACCCATACGCAACTCAAACTTTTATTTTTCCAATTTCTCAACGAACTTCTATCCTTCTTCAATTCCCTCTTCAGATTAGGTCTGAGAATCGCTAGACCTATCTATTCGTGTACGTTTCACTGGGGTTAGAAGAGGTTGGAGGATGGGGTGGGTCTCAATCCAGTTTCATCCTCTCTCTGACCAGTGGCTCGCACGCTTTCTCGATGGTAGGATCAATGATGGCTGCCACCATGCAAGAATGCCGATGAAGTCATAAAAGAAATGAAACGATGTGTCCACGAGACAATGAATGAGACGGGGTCCGTCGAGAACAAGGTGTGAGACGGGTGTCGGGACGCCAAGTATACCGATGTCTCTGGCGCCAGTTAGAAAGTTGGAAGAAAGTCACAAGTTGATGGGTTTGTAAGCAGTGGTCGAGAAAAAGAGACATAGTATGATGATGACTCCGCTGCCAAGTAATGGAAAGAGAACAAACCCAAAGATGAAGCAAGTCTCGTTGCCAAGGACAGGAGGTGAAAGTTTTTAAGATGTCAATAATGTTGAGAGGGTGGAAAGTGCACAGAGCGCAAGCGTCAGTTGAAGACGCAAAGTGAGTGAAAAGGTAACAAGACGTCAATGGTGTTGACGTCTCTGCCGCCGAAGGCTGGAAAAGTGTAGCCAGTGTTGAGAAAAAGAAGACTGAGTGGAAGTATCAAGAGACGTCAGTGATGATATCTCTGCCGCCGAGAGATGTGAGAGAGAAGACACAGAGTAAGAGTGTTGCAAGACGTCAATGGTGTAGACGTCTCTGCCGCCAAGAGTTGATGAGAGAGAGAGAGTGTGTGTGTGTGTATGTGTGTGCGACGTTAATGGTGTTGACGTCTCTGCCGCCGAAGGCTAGAAAAGTGTAGCCAGAGTTGAGAAAAAGAAGACTGAGTGGAAGTATCAAGAGACGTCAGTGATGATATCTCTGCCGCCGAGAGATGTGAGAGAGAAGACACAGAGTAAGAGTGTTGCAAGACGTCAATGGTGTAGACGTCTCTGCCGCCAAGAGTTGATGAGAGAGAGAGAGTGTGTGTGTGTGTGTGACGTCAATAGTGTAGACGTCTCTGCCGCCAAGAGTTAATAAGAGAGAGAGAGTGTGTGTGTGTGTGTGTGTGTGTGTAAGACGTCAATGGTGTAGACGTCTCTGCCGCCAAGAGTTAGTTTAATGTAAGAGAGGGTGTGCTTGAGAAAGAGTATCGAGACGTCAATAGAGTTGACATCTCTGCCGCCAAGAGTTGATGTGATAGAGTGAGAGTGTCGATCCGTCAGTGGTAGGAGTGTGACGTCTCTTCCGCTAATTGATGTGTCCGTGATAGGGGATACCACAGAGCAGTCTGCGCCGCTCATGCTGAGGCGAAGAGTTACCAAAGCAATCCGAGATGAAATAGGAATGTGCAGGAGGAACCGCAGGGTTTGGGTGTGTCCGGGAATGAGGCAAAGTGTGTTTGGGTGAGATGTGCCTGTCGATGAACAAGTTGGGAGATTCCCGGCACAGGATCATGCCGAGTCAATTGAGTAAAGGTGTGTCAGCGTTCGATCCGTTCTTGCGTTAGTTCGCCGTCTTCGATCGCCATCGTCGCAATTCGGGCTACTAACGACCGACACCACGTGAAGGTGCAAGAATTGTCGGTCTGGTTTGTTCTAGCAGTGTCCTTCTGCTCTTCCACAGGGACCCTCAATGGGGTTTGTGGGAATGGCGAATGTGATGTGCCCACCAGCTCCTCAACTGGGGGTCTTGGGGGGGATTGGTCAAGGGCGAGCTACTAGCGGCGGCCTGCTCAAACCCAAGGAGACGTTACCGGAATCCGATCAGCTGAAACCAAAGCGTGTACGTGCGAGTCCCGTGTATTCCGTGAGGAACACAACTAAGCCATGGAAGAAAATGCGTTGTGCCGGCGGCGCAAGAACCCACGCTGAGGCGGGGCAGGCAGCGGAGGCGGCGGCGGCGGCGGCATATCCAAGACTGGGGCCGACATCTCCCTGAATCGGAGGCTGTTGGCGTGGACCATGTACGCAGGCGAGATTGTCGTGTCGCAGTCCAAGTTCAGATGGTTGGCGTATTGGCCCACCCTTGCGGGCGGCCAGAACCAGAACGGCATCTGGTACCATCGTCCAAGGACTTCCTGGGCATTCGCCCAGCGACTACCCAACGAGTACGGATTGGCGCTCGGCTCGTCAAACATCAGGCGGCCGTTGACGTTGAGAACTGCCATTGTCCAGCGCCAGGTTGACCTCCGCTCTTTGCCCACTCGATTCTGCAAAACGATCGCGTTCCATTGGAACTTGATCATATCGGCGGCGGCGATGATTGCAAAGATCGAAGAGAGTGCGAGAACGGCGTAGCTCCATCGAGACAGACCCCGGATGTGCGGCGAAGCCAGAGCCCAAGACATGACGGCGAAGGAGAACAACGAGTACAAGAACATGAGCGGCATGAACAAGCAGTACTAGAGTGAATAAGAATCAGAAAAAAGTAGTACGTGAGGCGTGTGAGACTATTTACTTACCGGCTTGATCGTGTTCAAGTAGACGGGAACCCATAGCCAGAAGCACTGTAGATGGCCAGTCAGATACCATCTCACAAAACGTCTGAACGAAAGGTGACAGGCCTGGATGATGAATTGGATGAAAACTTACATAATGGTCAAAGACCGGGAGGCAGCAATCGTACCCGTGACGGCAGTGGTACATCCGGTCGCCCCTCCAGGCGCCGGCGTTGACACACTGTTCGGGGCACCGATTGGGCCGATTGCCGTCCGACGCGAGACGCTCGAAATCGAACCGGGCCGAGGTACTGTAGTCCGTTTGCATAACCGTCCGAGGGCGCGGCGCCACAGAACCACTCGGCATCCGGTATCCCTTTGCGTCAAAACAGGAGAAGTACCAGCAAAGGCCGATACTCCCCGCTGCATTCAGCAAAAGGAAGACGTAGACACCGAGCAGAACATGGGCCAGCAACACCTCTTTCGGGGACCAGACCGAGAGGAAGTTGGAGGCAGAGCCTTCCAGGATGATGCGGAAGTCTGGATGAATGTCAGTGATTTCATCGTAGGAGAATTCAGAGGAAGGTTGGGAGGAAGAATCAGAGGAAGGTTGGGAGGAAGAATCAAAGGAAGGTTCGGTTGGCTCACACAAGACTTCCATCAACATCCACGAGTTGACGAAAAAAGTCCCCACAATGAGGACAGGCAAGGTCCAAAAGAAAAGCTCTCTGGCCAAAGCCAGACGACGCCCCTCAGGACCAAGCACAAGTTGGGAGAAACCCCGGAGGGAATCCATAAACGCCATTGCTTAAAGCAAGACGTTGGCGGCGGTGGTGGCGGCGGCGGCAGCAGCGGCAAGAAAAAAGCTCACGAGAAGGAATCTTTAACAAGACGGCAGTTGTTTGATCTGAAGAAGAAGTTAGTATACCTGATGAGAGACAGGACGGATGATGAGAGCGGTAATGGGATAGGATTGGAACCAGATAGGAGAAGACAGTGGGCAGAGATGGACGAGCGAAGCTCTGCTGGCGACGGGAATGAGGGTATTCAGACATCAGAAAGACGCCGGAAAAGGGAAACGAAGCGTAGAATGGAAAGGCATATGTGGTATGATGGTGATAGTGATGGAAACACAGGCAGAAGGTGAGGGTATCGTGGGTACATACCGTTCTTCAAATTCGTGAGGCTGAAGAAGAAAAGAGAAGAAAAGAGGAAAAGTGGCAGACGTCTGAGGTGGATAGATATAGGCCGAGGGGCTGGCTCGAATCACTTACCTCTGGCACTGCTTTGGGAGGCAGGAACGCGTGGGTAGGCGCCTGCCGTCTGAAAGTGGTAGACGTCTAAGGTGGATAGATACAGGCCGAGGGAGGCAGGAACGCGTGGTTAGGTGCCTGCCGTCTGTCTCCTTCCTTTCAATTCCTTTTCCATCCATCCAGTCTATCTAGCTTGTGGCCTTATGTACAATAGGAAACCTCGACCCCCAAACTTCAGGGAACGAGTGAGCAACGTAGATCATGGCTGTGTTGATGCCGCTCCAAGAGCCAATGTGAGATTCGCGCTTGATGCACCCGCACGACGTACCTACCTAGGTAAGTAGGTATCGAGGTACGCAGAGTGCGAGGGTCAAATATCCAGACAGGGGGGGACTCTTCTGTAAAAGAGGTTGACTGGGACCAGGCAATCGTTTAACTGTGATTGCTACTTCTCTACATAAAGCTGCCGGTATTATTCTAGCTCAAGACGCTCCCCATGATGCTCCCTCTCCCACAGACCCGAGGCTTCCTTATGGCCGTCTACCTACACCTTACCAGCCCCTCCACTCGAAGGCCCTTCCTTCCACTTTTGTTATTGCCGTTGCCGCCGCCTTGTCTTGCCTTTGTTTTCATAATGACATCACAGCATCTCCTTGAAAAATTTGTCACCTTCCTCTAGTCTGGCACAGCTCCTTCTGTTTGTGGCCAGCGAGCGTTTCTTCTAGACACTCCCCGTCATCGTTGTTGGCGGCGGCCTGACAAGCCAAATGAGACTTGAATCGATTCTGATGAGATAAGATCAAAGCGTGGGTGAGTGTCCTTTGTGTATCCCCCCAAAATGCACACCCAAGCGGAAGAGATGTGCGTCGGCAACGGCGGCGGGGGCAGTGACTCAACTCCGACATCCGAGGCGTTGGTCGACACCTATCTCAGCCGCAAACCGTTGGCGCAGCTTATGTACGCTGGCTAAATGGTTATGGTGTTGATTCTCAAATGGTCGCTATATTGGCCAACGCGGGCGAGCTGCCAGAACCAGGGGACAGACATTCTTTGCGAACTGGCTGGAGGGTCGGGGCATGCTTCGCCTGGTTATTTCCGGCGAGTCTTTCTTCTGGATACTGCCTATCCTCCTGCTCCTCCGCCACCACCGGCTTCTTTGTTATAACAATAGCATTTATGTGTATCTTTCGAAGATTCACTATCTGGGCCCTGGGCCCCAAGAAACTTTGCCTAGCTGTCGCTCAAGGGACGTTCCTTTTTCGCTAGCTATCCGCCTTGTGGGGGATGTTTTGCCTGAACTCGTGGTTTATGCAGCGAGGCAACGTACTGGATCTCTACTTGTTCTTGGCGGGGAGCCCACCGGCTACCGCTGCCACCACCGCAGCCTCTGTTTTTGACAATAATGTTCCTGGATCTCGTTCGTAGACTTCGTCGGATCGAACGATTGCCATCTTGTCTGTGCTTTCTTCCCCTCTTCTTAGACCACCCATCACCCGACATCCCTTCCTTGTATCTCACTAGGCCTTGCTCTTCCCGAGAGTGGCCTGGATCTCGCCCACGACCGCGGCAGTCACATCCTTCGTCGTCGCCTTGCCGCCGAGGTCGGCAGTCACGATGCCCCTTCCCGTGACGCTCTCGACGCACTCCATCAGCTGCGCCGCCGCCTCCTTCTCGCCGAGCCACTCGAGCATCTCCGCCGCCGTCCAGAAGGTTGCCACCGGGTTCGCCACGCCCTTGCCCGCGATGTCGAACGCCGACCCGTGGATGGGCTCGAACATCGAAGGGTTCCCGCGCGTGGGGTCGAGGTTGCTCGTCGGCGCGATGCCGATCGACCCGGCAAGCGCAGCGGCCAGGTCGGAAAGAATGTCAGCGTGCTGGCACACCGCACGCCTGTCAGCTTTCCGAGTCGGCACCGCGTGATGGAAGCAAGACCACGGCACTTACCAGGTTTGTTGCGACGATGGTGTCGAGGCTCCTGGGGTCGAGCACCATCCGCGTCGTCATTGCGTCGACGAGCATCTTGTCGAGCGCGATGTCGGGGAAGTCCCTGGCCACCTCGTAGACAACCTCGTCCCAGAGCACCATCCCGTTGCGCTGCGCGTTGCTCTTAGTCACGAACGTCAGGAGCTTGCGCGGGCGGCTGCGAGCGGTCTCGAACGCGAAGCGGATCAGACGCTCAACGCCGTGGCGCGTGAAAATGGACACTTCAGTGGCAGTCTCCCAGGGTAGCCCCCTGTGCGACCGCCCACCCTGGCCAGCGTACTCGCCCTCGCTGTTCTCGCGGATGATTACCCAGTCCAGGTCGCCCTCGGCGCAGTTCCGCAGTGGCGACTGGGTGCCGCGGAGGATGCGGGTGGGCCGCACGTTGGCGTACTGCTGGAAAGATTGGCAAATGGCCAGACGAAGCCCCCAGAGCGAGATGTGGTCGGGGACATCTGTCTTCTCTGTTAGCATCTCACGTTGTTGCATGGCAATTGCCTTGGTGAGAGGTTCGTCATACCGGGAGCACCAACGGCTCCGAAGAGGATGGCGTCGTGCTTCTTGAGCTGCTCGAGGCCGCCGTCCGGGATATACTTGCCCGTTTTCTTGTACGTCTCGGAGCTCCAGTGGTAGTCGGTGAAGTTCAACTCGAACGTGCCCAATGTGTCAGCGAGCGCCTTGAGGACCTCGACGCCGGCCTCGATGACCTCCGGGCCGATGCCATCAGCTCCCATAGAGGCGATGCTGTACGCCCTCTGGGCGGGAAGCGCGCTGGGCGACATTTTGGTTTGTGAGGAGGGATGTCCCTGGGTGGACTGCTGTCTCGAGGTAATGTCTAGAGTGATAAGGGGGGTTCACGGTGAAAGGGTGCGTCTTCCTTTTGGAACCCAAAGATGTGTTCAGATTGTGGCACTGGCTGTGTTTGTAGAGTATCCGATATGCCAGTCAAGATGAAGCGTCTTCTCTCGTAACTGTCCAAGTCTCGCCATCTGCTAGATGTCCTTCTCCAGCGCGGGCCGCGCTGCAGGCATCGGGGGTATGGGGTTGGGGCTTGCCGCCGTTGGAGGCGGGGTTGACTTTGTCCGCCGACCAAGACGCACCCGCGGATAAAGTCAATCCCGCTGCACATCATTTCGCAACCTGCACAAGGTAAGTTGTCTTCTCAACTACATCAACAAATTCCATTGAGTCTACTGCTATTTAGCTGTACTTCAACAACGACCCTCGCTCCCAGAAGTGATGATGAACCTCAACCTGGCTTAAAAAAAACTGACATGCCAATATATTATAGGAGAATTCAGACAAAATTTTAGACAGGGAGTCAGACGAAGGTTTAGGTAGGTTACACAAGACTTCTTCAATAAACGCTCTACTAACGTATAGCAATAGTGTAAAGACTTTATACAACTGAGATGTTGAGCGTTACAACACTCCACATGCTTTTACTGCGTGCAGCAGGTGTAGTGAAAGGTGCATTGCCGACCGTCCTCTAACCCATTACACGATTGCTGGTTCAAGGCGAATTCCGTGGCATCGCCGCCTGGCGCAGGGAAGTCCTTAGGACATTGTACCCTTCCTGTAAGGCCTCCAACAGTGCATATTCCAGTGGCGCACTTTCCTCCCACAGCCGCCCAATCAACGGTAGTGTCGCATTGAGGTACAATGCCTTGACGCTTGATAAGGGGGTTTGCCGAGCTAACAGCCAAGAGGCTGGCGACTGCGATATAAACGGACTTTGCGTACATGGCGAGGAAAATGGTAGCGTAAGCCTGAACTTTTCATACTGTTAGTATAGTTTCTTAACCTCGCAATGCGTCCTCAGAACATTTTAGCTTTGCTTTTCAGAAATACTTACAAATGGGTGGTGCTGGAGATAGAGGTTGAGGATAGAGAAACTAAGTGAGGCTGCTTTGTTTATTGACGTAAAGAGGCCTAGCTTTATACTTTTAAACTAATTATCTTCTACTTCCCCAGATCAGAAGCCTAAACTTAGATAAATCACTTCTTACGACGCTATTAAATGAGTTTACGCCAAGTACAATAAGGTTTAATTTTTAATATATTCAAGGCTTATTACATTAATAGGGTATATACATATACGTGACGCTCTCCAGCGACCTAAAGAGAAGTCAGCTAAATGTTCATAAAATGCTAACATAAGGGAAGGCGCCAAGCAGTGTTTATATAAAACGACGTACTATGGTATCCGGCCAAGATAAACTATCCCTGTCAGACATCTTACTCTGTAACACACATCCTACTTATTCTAGTTTCAGGCCTAATATTACTATCCAGTAGTCTAACTCGGTGGTTTTTACAGAGAAATCATGTAACTAAGGTAATTTACTTCATACTAGATACCCGGTGTATATGCACAAAGCATTAGCGGCGACGTTGACAGATGACGAAGCCGAAAACGATGGGGAAGAAATTGTGGGGGATGGAGAGCAGGTAGGTGACGCGCGGGTAGAAGGGCGCTCTCGGCGACGCCGAAGAGAAATCGGACGACAACGAGGTGCGCGTAGGTCTGCGCAAGGGCAGGGTAGGCGGAGACGAGGCCGTCATCTCCGCCTACACCACCCCCGTCATCGTCTTCCGGGTACGACATTTATTCATTGACGATTGTGAGCTTTTGCCTTATCTTAGGTAGGACCACATAGGGTCCACCGAGGAATCGAACTGCGCCGCCGCCAAGAATGGGCAGTCGATGGCGCCAAACGAATTGGCAAACAGCTGATCATACCAGACCATAGACTCCTGCCCTTCTCCGGTTATCGTTTCGGTCCCGTCGATCGACGCCGAGGGAATAGAAGCCGCGGCTGATGAGATAGGAAACGGCCGAGCGTCGAAGCCGGGTGAATCCTGCCGAGCCGCCGCCCGGGACCGAGATTGGCCTCCGGGCGTGCTGGCTGTCCCTCTCTGGTTGACCGGCGTGTCCGGTGTCGGCGACATCTGCGCGGGCCACCGTGCAGACTGGTCATCCGCCGTTGACGGCCCGTCGCTTTGGATATGCCGGGGCCACATGGTGCTGTCGTGGCTGACGAGGCCTTGTTCATCCTGCCGACCCGTAGACACAGCAACGGATGGGGAAAACCGGGCGTGCGGGTGAGAATTCTTGGGTCTACCCGAACCGCTGCTGGGAGGGGCTGATCGCCCAGCGTCGTGGTGCAGGTGACCGCTTAACATAGGGGCACCCGTGCTTGGGTGCCGGCGAAGCGAATTTGGTGGATCAGACAGCTCGCGCACAGCGGCGGTGAGCTCGTCAATGGCAGAGAGGCAGTATTCGGGCCATGAGGTGTCTCGGGAAGCAATGTGACGCAGTATTTGCTTGCCGGACTCGACGTGTCTGCGGAAGATGGAGTTAGACTCGGTACCCACCTTTGAGAAGAAGAAAAGAGAAGAGATATATACTTCAGAGCGCTTCCCAAAGGCAATTGTCTTTCAAAGGCAGCGTATATCAGAATGAAAGCGCTGATCCAAACAGCCCATGTGAAAGAGGGTTGAAGCATGGGCTCGAGTAAACATGGACTCGTTGGGTCAGTCGGGATCTTGTTCTGGCTTTGACACCTCTTCAGCGCAATGAAGATGGACTTGGCCGCGAATATGCAATTCTGCAAGCCGGTCGAGTAGGCCGGGCTTGAGGGGTCCGAAGTCATCATCGGTCTGTTGAGAGAGATCATGGACTCGTACTTCGAGACTAGCAGAAATAGCCTATGGCCCGGGGATATGGGCGGTGGGGAGGCACTCTCTTCATACACCACTTCGTCTTCGACCGCGTCGTGAATCTCATTGGACCACTTGGCCAGCTCCGCTTGAACATAGCTCGCGCATTCCGCGGTGTCGTCCCTGGAGTGGATCGACTTGTTTCTCAGCTCCAGGATGAGACCTCGTATCCGGGCATGCTTCACAAGGTACGTGAGTAGCTGCAGCCGGCCGTCCTCGCTTTCGTCGGAGGGAGCGCCGTGTCTCTCTTGGCTGGGATAGCAGACATCGACGTCATCGTCTCGTATGTCGAGGGGTAGACCGAGAGCCTGGCAGAGAAACCTCTCGATGCAGTAGATACACCAGAACACTCGTCGGCGCATGTGGGCCTCCTCCTTGGTGAAGAATGGGTACCTCGACGGACATCGATGGAGCCCGAGGTGAAAGGCCATTCTCACAATCAGCCCGCCAAGTCGGGATGCCGAGTTCAGTCGAAGCATGGAGACGAGGAAGAGCTGGATGGCGAGCGCGGTCTGGGTGGCCTGAATTGATGCCGGCTGGCAGAGGGCAAACTGCGAGGCTAACATAGCCTCCTCCACGGTTCGGAAAACGAGGGAGCTAGGCACTAGCTGAGCAAAGCGAGCCCTCTGGCGACTGTCGGCTAGGGAGATGGATAGGATGGACTTGACGATGGATCGCTCCAGGTGTCCAAGGGAAGCCACGCCAGACGCACTGACTTTTTCGAAGAGACCTAGGACATCCGGGGCACTGAGAAAGGGGAGAGTCGGGTGCCAGGCTTCAAAGTAGCTCTTGGACCAGTCGACAAGCTGCTCGAACGGAGGAGGGTTGGCGTCACCACCCTCGGCGGCGTCCTGGAGCAGTCCATGGGCTCGCCATAGATTTTGCTCGTCACCGTCACGAGACGAGGTGTCGGAACGCAACTGGTCATCCTCGCCCGGGACCAGGTCGTTGATGCTGTTGGACTGGGACGCCCTGAGAGCGGGCTTGCGGGCAAGCCTCACGTAGACGCTGCGGATGAAGTGAATGCCGCTGCCGCTGCCGACGAAGCGAGAGGTGTCATGCCTGCCCGTGTCGCGCATCAAGCCATATTCGCGAGTAGGGCGGTCAGTAGACCCCGAGTGCTTCCGCTTGCGTGAACGATGGGCGAAGTGCGCCGGGCTGAGTGTTCCGGACTCGGACGTGGCATTGGACGACTCTGCAACGTCCATTCGGGAAGAGAGAAAGAAGACAAGGTCCCGGTATAGTCAGATGGGCCGCATTCAACGGACGGCTCGAGGAATGGCGGGGGTCGGGAGCATGGTGTGGAGAGTAGAGAGATGTCAGTCAAAGCAGTCGAAATGCCTTAGGAACAAAAGAACATCTAGGAAAAGGGAGTGGCGCCGTGAAACGGCTCGTTAGAAGCTGTGCGTGGATGCGAATGGCACGAATGGGATCAGGTCGATCAACATGGCGAACATGAGAAATGTTTGAAAACGGTATCGGACGTCGCTGCAAGAAAAGAGGCGACGACACGATTGGATTCGGGGGGAAAGAGCGACGTCGGCCGAAAGTGGGGCCCATTGAGGCGGCACCTTCCGGAAAGTGTTGGCTCTGCGGACAAACAAAACTCCGCGCGTTGCTCGTGTACTTTTTGTCTTTTGTTCCTCGTCGCCGCCGTAGACCGTGAGCCAAGATCAATACGATGGTCTTGGTGGCTCTGCTGATTCCATAAAGACAGCACCGATCCGTCATTACGAAGCCTGGAACCCACTTGTTCCGCCATGTTACGAGATGGTGGTGCCAGGGCCGATGGCGACGCCCTGCAAAGCCCGATCGCCTGCGAGTCTTGTCGACAGAGAAAACGAAGGGTGAGTCCAGCTCGTCTCGTCCTTTTGAGGCCAATCTCATTATACCAGTTTACCAACGTCTTGAAAGTGTGACAGAAATCTGTAAGTAGCTCCGCAGCTCTCTTGCATTGGAAGCTCACCTTCCCTTCCCTGTAGACCTTCCTGTCTCCAATGCAGCCATGAACCGGGGAGATGTCAGTATCCAGAGCAGAGCAAGAGGTAGGCACTCGTTTTCCCTCCTTGTTGCGTGTTTTGGACTCACAGATTGCGTGAAGAGGCATCCCTAATGGCTACCTCAACAAGCTCGAGACCCGACTCGCCGAGACTGAAGCTGCCCTGTTTAGGGCCCTATCGGGGGTCCTGCATAGCCTAGGATCTGGTTCGGCATCCTCGCCAGCGCTCCTCCCGCAGGCAGCGTGGACACCAAGGCAGAACAAAGTCGACCGGGTCAAAGAGTGGGAACACTTCCCTCTGCAGACACCTGATGAAATTCAGGCTTGGTTCCGCTCAAAGGCCGCGGGACAGAGCGACCCCGTCCCCGAACCCCTCGACGCCAGCCCTCAGTCCCTGGTCTCGTCCGCGTCAGACCCCATGCTTGCGCCGCATCCCGTGAGAGATCCGGATTCGATGCCGGCTCAGCGGCCGCTCTCGGATGCAGTGATTGAGCCTCGACTCAGGTCCATGACACCAATCGCCACAACCCCGGTAAATGGGGTGCCATCAGACAGCGTCAGTAAGGCCGAGGAATTGTCAAAGTCGCAGAGGAATCTTTACTTCTAAAAAAAAACCTTAACCCGGTACATCCAGAGTGAAGGGGGGCGCCCGACTCTTCCCACCGACGGCGGAACACCGAGATATGTGCCGGAAAACCCAAACGCACGGCCCGTACGCAAACAGCGGAATGCGACCATGCCCGTTCGCCTACTCGCGGCTTTGCTGTACTCCCCAGCGCCACGGCCCCGAGCTACCCCGCAGTGAGCATTCCATATTCCGCAGCGGCCCGGTTTCCACTACTATCCGCTCGGTTTGCTGCGGAATTACGGAACGTTCACAGCTTCCAAAACGCGAATGACCTCAGACTGAGTCCCTGAGAGCTCACGAAAGCTACCTGCGCGTGCAAACAAAGATCTGTTCCCATCAGCTTTTTTCTTGGTTTGTCTTGTGTTTTGCTTTATACCATAACCCAAACTTAGCGCAATTGTCAACCGAATTCCGTCCGTCACAATGTCAAGTTCGCAATCCTGGGTTCCCGTATCCCCCACGAGCCACTTCTCGCTGGCCAACATCCCGTTCGGCATCATCTCTTCAAAGTCGGACCCGACTCATCGGCCCGCGGTCGCCATCGGAGACCATGCCCTGGATCTCAAAGCCTTCGCAAACGCCGGCGGCTTCCACGCCCTGCCCTCGATCCACAAGCACATCTCCGTCTTCTCCTCGCCCACGCTGAACGAGTTCGCTGCCCTGGGCCGGCCCCTCCACCGCCAAGTGCGGACGTATCTCCAGTCCGTCCTCAGCGACAGCACCACGCATGCCGGCCTGCTCAAGGACAACGCCGACCTGCGCCAGGCGGCCATTCTCCCCTTCTCTGAGGTCCGGAACCACCTGCCGATGGCCATTGGCGACTACACCGACTTCTACGCCGGCAAGAATCACGCGTACAACATGGGCGTCCTCTTCCGCGGCCCGGATAACGCCCTGCAGCCAAATTACGTGCACCTCCCCGTCGCCTACCACGGCCGCGCCAGCAGCGTCGTCGTCTCCGGCACGCCCATCCGCCGACCCTGGGGTCAGATTCTTAGGGATCCCAAGGCCGAGCCCAAGGTCCCCGCACTCGCGCCCTGCGAGAGGCTCGACATCGAACTCGAGATGGGCATGTTCGTGTGCCGCGAAAACAACCTGGGCGAGCCTGTGCCGGTCGACCAGGCCGAGGAGCACATTTTCGGCTACGTTCTCATGAACGACTGGAGCGCCCGCGACATCCAGGCTTGGGAGTACGTCCCCCTGGGTCCCTTCACCTCAAAGAACCTCGGCACAAGCATCAGCCCGTGGGTCGTGCTCGCCGACGCCCTCGCCGGGGCAAAGACACCCGGCCTCGAGAACAAAACGGAGCTACTGCCCTACCTCCGCGAGAGCAGGAAGGACAATACCCTTGATATCGAGCTGGAAGTCGAGATCATCAGTAAGGCCACCCTCAACCAACCTTCACCCATCTTTCCGACCGCATCGCAAGAATACGAGTACTGACGCAGTAAACTCTCCAGCCGCCAGCGGGAACAAGACGACGCTCAGCCGCACCAACTCCAAGAACCTGCTCTGGTCGTGGCCGCAGATGATTGCGCACCACACCATCACCGGCTGCAACTTGCGACCGGGCGACATGTTTGGTTCGGGGACTATCTCGGGCGCCGATCCCGGCACCGAAGGCAGCATTCTCGAGCAGACAAAGGGAGGCAAGCAGCCTGTGAAGCTCAACGGAGGAGAGGAGAGGAAGTTCCTCCAGGACGGAGACACGATAATCATCCGCGGTTGGAGCGGCCAGGAGGGCGCGATCGTCGGGTTCGGCGAAGTATCTGGCCAGATTGAAGCCCCCTTGAAGCTTTTCTAGTCGCTTAGCAAAAAGGAGGACACTCATGTAGTAAAGAAGGTAACGAGCGCTGGATTCAAATGCCATGAATATCATCGCCAAATATCATAGGCCAAGAAATGTTACTCGTCCTGATCTCTACCTGGTCCTAAGCTCCTCGGGAGTATCGGGCTGATTGTGATAATTCGCCTTGATCACCGCAGGATGATCCTTCAAACTGTCCACGAGCCTTCTGATCGTAGGGTAGCCACTCAAATCCACGCCAAACCTCTCGGCGTTCCAGTAAGCCGGCAACAGGCACGCATCCGCCAGGGAGATCTCGTCGCCTACGGAATGACGTCCCGCCCACTCCAGGGCGACAGCCTCGTACGCTGCGAGCCCGTCCGCCATGAGCTCGCGGTTCCACTGCTCCGCATCCCCGCCGAGCGCCCGCACGCGTCGCATGATACGGAGATTGGTCACGGGCTGGACGTCGCAGGCGACGATGTCCACCAGGCTGCGGACCACGGCGCGGGCCTTGGGGTCGCTGGGAAGCAGGGGCGTTGACGAAGGGTGGGTCTCCTCGAGGTACTCGAGCGCCGCGACGGACTGGGTAACCCTGAAGTCTGCCGCAGCGCGGTGGACGAGGAGGGGGACGCTGGCAGAGGGGTTGAGTGCGCGGTGAGCCGGGGCGAGGTGTTCGTCCTTGAGGAGGTTGGTGGGGATCGTGGTGTAAGGGATGGACTTAAGGTTGAGGGCGATACGGAGGCGCGCGGAGCAGGAGGAGCGGAAGTAGGAGTACAGCATGTAATCCGAGTCGGCCATCATGACTTCCTGATGCTACTGTCGAGTAGTATCAATAGACAAGGTGTAAGAACCGCCAGCCAAGGGTTCAAAGGTGTGATTTAGGCAGGAGGCCCATTTTGTATCGGTAGGCCGCTGGCCAAGACTCAGCCGATTTCACGGAAACCCGCCCTCCCATCTATTTTAGCCGGAACGTGATCTTCTCTACCTTGCCTTGTGACGAGAAAGGGTGCAGAACTTCCGCTCCTAGCCTTTGTCTGCCGAAGGAGGAAGCGTTCGGACTTAGAGGCCCCTGCATACGCCCCAAGAGGACCATGCGGGGAAGACGGCTCTCGACGGCGTAAAGGTTGAGAGTATCGGAGGACCGGAGTTGCTATCGATTGAGGTTGATGATTGGTTGTGGTTCAAATTCATCCTAGGTCATGGCTTCAGTCCCCAGGGCGGAACTGCGGAAGTCCAGACCACATACTTGAGAGACTCTATTCCGCCATGGTCATCTCACACCGGCATTCGTGGTCCGGAAGATTTTGAGAAGAGGGCGACTGAACCGAAAGGACATACCTGCCGGGAGTTCTTCCCGTCATAGTTCGCATCTCAAATGATTGACAGACACACCCAGTCCATCCATACTCGAGCTTTTGAATTAGACATGACTGCGCGCGAGTATTCTGTTTCTCTTGTATGTCATGATACTGTGTCTATCACACCGATTTTGTTGTATGTTGTACCCCCAATCCACTCCCATTCCACGATCTCAACTCTATCATTACTCCTCTGCACCAGGCCGTAGACTCTCCCAGCCAAGTTAGCAGCTATCTTGAATGGCCTGTCGTCACCCGACATGGTCGAAATCTCCCCCGCATTCGACCATTCCCCTTCAACGTACGTCGTCAGCACCGGTGCCTTGTTCGTTTGTGTCGCCAAGACGTGCATGACGAGGCTGGTGTTGTTGTAGCCGCTCGAGAAGGCCGCGATTGTGGCATCGGTTTCGAGCGTTGTGGGCAATGTGTTGTTGCTCCAGTCATTGTCGTTCGTGAGGGTCAAGTGAGTAAGTGAGCCCGACTCGGTAGTATAGAAGAGGCTCATTCTTTTCGTCGGCTCTGTTGTGTAGATGGGGATCAAGGACAACCCGGTGCCTTCTGCGGGCTTGCCAAAGTCGGTGGAGATACCCACGGCTAGCCAGTCCGTCTTTCCGCCAGTTCGTCGGAGTACGCGAAGAGTATTGCCCGAATCTTGGTAGATGACCAAGTTGGAGAGGTACGAGTCGGGGCTGTATATGCCGTTCGAGAGCAATTGCGACTTGGGGCGTGCTGTAAACGTTTCCGAGACCCCGGACTTATCCCAAGTCATGCTGTAGACTGGGTTGGCATTGATCTGGCCAGCGACCTGGTTATCGTTGTTTAGGTAGTAGATGCGCACGTCGCGGGTCTGCAATGAATGAAGTTAGGCAACGATAGCCAGGAGGTCCGGATCGCGGCGGGAACTTACGATATTACTATGCCAGAACAAGCTATTGCTGATTGGAGTGCCCGGCTTGATGTTGCTGTCCTTATTTGCGACGCTCGAGGACCAGACTTTTGTGCTTGAATTCCACGACGCCATCATAAGGTTATTTGAGCGAACCTGGTAGAACACCAGATGGTTGACATAACCATACGCATCGGTGAAATTGAGGGCCCCGAGGTTCGTGCTGGGAAGTATGTCCATGTCGCTCGTCGTGGAGTTGTTCGAGTCGCCGTTACTTCCGCCGCCTCCGCCGCCTCCGCCGCCATTGCCGCTGCCGCTTCCGCCTCCGCTTCCGCTCCCGCTATCGCTTGGGCTTCCCGAAGAGCTGCTCGATTGTTGCGAGCTGTTCTGTGCGGACATTGCGCCGCCGACGCCTCCTCCTACAGCTGCGCCGATAATGATGACAAGCACAGCAGCCAGAATAATCCAGAAGACCTTCTTCCGGAGGCCGCATATCGTGCTGGGCTGCTTCTTCTCATCAGTCTTCTCCGTCACGACCTCAGGCGGGGTTTGATCTTTCGGCGCGTAGTATCCGGTTTCGTAGGAGGCCCCATTCTGGTATGTCGCCGCGGGGCTGCCGTCCATCGAGTGGACGGGCTGCATTATCGAGTAATCGTGGCCATACTGATGGGTGACTTCTGGGAACTGGCCGTCGTGGTTGCGAACTTCGGGCAGGCTGTTCTGGTCCGCTACACGGGCATCCGCGCCGTCCTCCACGCCCCATCTGGCCCCATGGCCTGACCTCTCATCGACCTCGAGGCCGCTGTAGTACCCCTGAGCCGCATTGTTGTTCAAGGGCGCCATGTTGAGGCGCTCATAGGCCGGTCAAGGAGCGAAACTTGTACCAGAATGAAGAGTGAAAATGGGTAAACGGAGATATGGAGACCTAAAGAAGTAGCCCGCTCACCGAAGGCACAGGACTTCCATGTACATCAGGCTGCAGCATATACGCTGTGGATGCTTCGCTTCTTGGCCTCTCAGCATCGCGCTTCAGCGGCGCCAAGCGTTGGCAGTGGAGATTGAGGGACAATTATGCCAACATCCCTGTCCGGAACGGCTGTTCATTGCTTACTCTGGATAAGCGCTGACCGGACTCTTTGTCGATGGATCAAAACCAGCGAATGACTTCCCTGTCAGTGGCTGCGCATCGATAGCTGCGGCTGTAGCGACCATAATCCAAATAGCAGGAGAGGGTTATTGGGCGCCTTGTTGAGGGATCCGTTATATTAGATTGCTTATGGGCGTTTTGAGCGACTATTATACCGATGAATCAATCAATCCATTCAGCATTTGATAGGTGCTTAGTGTAGCATTTTTATCACATCTAGAATTTGATTATGTGAGCACCCAGGTCAAGACTAGTAAACTCGAGATGCGTCTTGAGGAAGCCTGATTGTAATATCTTTTCTGCAATGGCGCCACTTCTTTGATGTGGTGAGAAGGTGAAGGGGGGGCTCTAGGGCTAGAGACCAACATGACCAACATGGCCAGCATTTCCAATCGATAAGAATATTAGGTGGTAGATTCCCACGCAATCCTACAATCCGGCTGGCAATCGTCGGCCTTGCCTCGTCCGACAGGACGTCGTTACCACGGAATAAGTCTCCGGTCCCGGAAGCTCGATCCTTGCTGGCCCTTTGGCGAGGCCCACGGCGGCACGTAGCGGCCCAGCCCGCAAAGCACGACTGGTGCCACGAGCTTTACGGTCCCACAATCCAGATTATGAGCTGCTCGGATCTTGATGCGGTCTGCCTGGTTGCGAGTGCTGTTGACTTGGACAGCTTCCTTTCCATTCTTAAGATTCAGCATAATCGCCGCTTTCGTGCACATATATTCTACTCTTTTTTCTACATCGGAACTTAGGCCTGAGTTGTGGACTGCTCTTGAGCTGGATGGCCGACTGGAACACGAACGGCATCAGCATAGTTATAAACAGTGCATTAAAGTTGGAGTACGTATAATCCAACTAAGGATAAGAAACAAGAGCCAAATCTAGGCTAGTAGGCAGCAGGGACAATGTAATAATCCAGTTAGAGCCTACGGTCGTAGATTCATTGTTTTTGTGAAGACAGCCTAGTCGTAGTCAAAACTTCACTTCGAGCTGCGCGTATCTGGAACTAGTTGTTCTTTGCCGCAAGGCGATTCGCAATAAACAGAAGCATAGCAACACAATTATATTCCAAAAGCCTTTAACTGTCTACCCAATTGTCATTCTTATTCGTGGTATGCTTCTAAGATATACGCCGAAGTTGATCGCTTGCTGGTGAAACCTAGTTGTTTTGTCCAATGAAAATAGCTGAAAACTTTACGCTCCACACAGAACCACTTACTTTAATACCTCACAGTGCTTCAGGAAAACAGTTCAGGCCTTATATCTGAACCGCCCCCGATGAAGCTTCCTCCTTCCATATATGGCAGATGGATGTACTGTCTCCTCCGAATCCATCCTTTTGTTGTGCATAACGATATATGACCACGTACCCGAGAGAATCACAAACGCGATGATGACCAGTATCATACTGATAGTCATCCCACGTCGGTAAAAAGGACCCTCGCTGGTCCTAAAGATCCAAGCGGAGATGTAGCTAGCAGTATTTCCAACCCCGACCACGAAACCACTTCCAATTGCGCGTTGAAACGGTGTCCGCAGGTTCTGCATGGCGAGGATCCAGATCATCGGAAGGGTGATAAAGGTACCGAAAGCGATGAAGTAGAGAGCCATCATGATGACACTCGAACTTTCGCGCTCACCGTTGCGCAAGATAGCGTAGCCGATGATTGTAAAGACAAACCCTACAAGGCCGAAGGCAGAGCGATGGTTGAGACGGTCAGCGGCATAGGCCGTCGACAAACAGGCAACTGCGGCCACGACGAAAATTGGAACGACCTGAGCCTGTATCGCCGTAGCATCCAGCTCTGGGCGGAACGACTTGACGAAAGACGGCGAGAAGATGGATAACGAATAAGCCGTTGTAGTTGTGAAGCAGTAAAGAGCCGTCCAACAGTAGTTCAGTGGGTTCGTAAGAAACAGCTTCCACTCTGCCAATGCACCAATACTGGTTGTGCGACTTTCCACGGAACTCTGGATGATTCTTTTCTCTTCTTCCGTCAAGAACTTTGCCTTGTTCGGGGGCCCGACATTTGACACCGAGCATAGACAAGCAGCGACAACCGTGATGATGCCTTCGATGATGAAAATCCTGATGACATTAGAAAGAAGGCGCAGTTTGTATCGCGGTTCGAGAACGTACCATCTCCAACCTTTGAAGTTTTCGGTTACCTTGATGTTTGCAATAGCATACGCCAGAAAGTTGCCAACAATGTTGGAACATATATTGGCCACGGTGATGAGACCGAGCCTCCACTGAAGGTGAGTCGGAGGGTAATATAGCGAACAGAGGAAGACGCAACCGGGTATCAACCCAGCGTCAAAAACGCCAACAAGAAAACGTGTGGCAAGTATCTGATCAAATGTTTTTACGAAGCCTTGGCCGATCGTGATGACCCCTATCTCTGTGTAAGAGGTCGTGCATACTGCCACTGAAGACACGGATTTGACAGTAGATACATACCGAGCAAGACATCCAAAAGACACATATACCACATGTAATGGAAGTTGAATCTTCGGTCCAGAAACCGCATCAGGAGATTACTGGGAACCTCGAATAAAATCAACGGGACCGCGGGCATGGTCAGCACGATAAAAACCTTCATCGCGTCAAGCTTGAGATCTTGGGGCAGCTGGCGAATGAGAGCGGCCCCAATGTTCGTTCTTCCCATGAGCGACAAGAAGTTGAGAAAGAACATGGCAACCATTATCTTCAAGTCCAACTTGTACAAAAGCTTCTGGTCGAAGGTCTTTCCGCCAATTGACGGTCCATAAGACTCGCTCTGGGCGAAGCCGCTTTTCGAGTCGCTCGGCAGCTCGGTACCGCCCGTCACCTTGGCATCGTCGTCAAATGTTGACATTTCAGAATTCCTCTTCGTTTGTTCCCGCTGAAGCTCTAACGAACCTGACATTGTTGGCCTATGGCTGTGAATGGAACTTATGGCAGGCAACTGGGCTGACAGGTAGAGTCCGGAATCATGCCAAGCTCAACCGGTCGTGATTACGATGGAAATAGAGTGATCTGAAGCGGAGAATTATCTTTAGGTCTGATCTCAAGATGATCAACCGGTGTGAGGGAAACTTTGTCGGAGGTAATACGACTTTGTTCTTTCCCCCAATGTCCGCCCGTTGGTTCCGTATTTGATGAACGTTATTTAATTACACTCGGAACATTCTACTTGTGATATCATCCGATGGTCGGCTTTCGCCTCGGCGCTCGGTCCTTGCGACTAACAAAGGTACTCTGACACGGTTTCTGACACAAAAGCGATAGCGAACTGCATTAGGTTTTCCACCCTCATGGCCACGCTTTCAGACAGTCGATTGTGTATTAGTTCAATGTTAAGCAAGATTGTCGATCTTCCGCAGCCCGCCTCTCATGGTTCGGAAGGTGAGGAAGGCGCTGTTATAGCAGAATGAGACGCCCGAGCCGATCAATCTGCTAGCTGAGATAGTTTCAGTCAGGTTGAACGCCAATCCCGTTGAAACCTCAAAACTGATTACTTCACAGTTCGTTTAATGTTGCTATCATTAGTCCTACCGTAGGACAGCGATACCGGCAGCCTCGGACCGATACTATATGATACACATATCGTACCCAGTCCGCATCAGCGTTGAATTCGTTACATAGTAGATACATGGCAAACGAGGAACTTCAAGATACCCTATCGAGCCAGTCATTGGGCGGGATATATGACTCGGTCCTGCTTATTTATTGGCTATTTTAAACTCTCCCCTTTATTGAACTGTGAATCGTACATTCATGCTACATTCGTTCTGACCCAGGAAGATGCTAGTTTCCACCGCAGACCCTCTGAGAATCGTCGATAACTCCTCTTGATCCATCAAGTCCTTTTTTGTCAACGACTCAGCTGTTCCTCACCGCTCTAACAATAGTCATTTGGGTGATGTGGGGGATGCGGCCGGCTTTCCAAGAAATGCATAGAAGCCAAGCTATGCAAATAATAACGTGATAAGTGACCTGCCAAAATCGCCTGGTATCAGGTGTTCTTCTGTTGCCACGCGGAAGAGTCCACTATGCAGCGGAATTGAATGCATGCAAGCAAATGTAGGGTCTTTTGGAATAAAACGATAATGTTGCTTGGTCCGGCACAGCAAGTTGTCAGGCCAAGTTAGAGTTTCTCTAAAAGTGACCAGGCCACATTGCATCGTTGTTCTTTTATGTGGTTGCTCAGGAATCTCAAGCCTTATTATTAATTGATCTATGGGTCAGGAAATGCGATAGTACTGAGTATCCAATTTGGGCTGGCCAGGTGCAGTCTCCTCCATACACATGTGATATTGCAAAGAGTGGCATAATGGACACAGTTAATGTCATGACAGGTGACTATATACCTACATAAGATATGGCAGAGCACGCATCGTTATCATTAACCAAATTTCCCTATCATTTCTACACTCCCACTTTCTAATTTCAATATCTTGCGACTATGTAATGATCCCGAACCCCAAAGCAGCATTTTCCTCCCTTCCAACTCTCTAACTGGTACATTACAGCTTACAATAACCCGAGCTGCTATGCTATGCGGTGGGTTATTCGCGTTATTCTGCCTTGGTGGTTCGATGGAGACAACCCTTGGCGGCGTTGAATCAGCTGGTCGGTCTTGGCCGGACGGATACCGGTCCTCCTAGCGCCTTGTCGCCAAGTCCGCCGAGCCTTGCAAGACTAGGGTGGTTAACGTACACTACATCCGCTCTCAACTCCCGCCCGCAATGCCCCAATAACCGCCCGAGGGAGGATTCGCTTAAAGTCTTGTCCTAGGTAATGCTAAGACATTTGTGCTCCTTGCTGTCCACCAACGAACGCGTGAGAGGGTTTCCCCCAGCCCCGTGAGGCGTGAGAAAAGCAGGATTACGTCCTCTGTTGGATACGTCTCTTGCTGAAAGCTTCTGCGTCCTAACCAGGTTCACTATTGATACCATGGGAAGTGGATAAAAAAAGACAGCCGACTGAAGGTTCGATATGTACCGTATAATCTCGAAACTTTCACCCATTGTTGTTCCCTCGCATCTCTTTTCCACATCGAGCCTCAAACACTCTGAGTGCTTCTTTCTCCCAAGGTTCTATCATACGGAGCTATTTGCACACCATTTTCCAAACCTCATATGGTACCGAAACAAGCCAAGAACTCAGTTCATCCTCACCCCTCGCCCGCGACTGGAACGAGGTAGAGCCAAACCTCGTGTATATACAGGGCCTTACGCACCTGCAAGCGGAAATGGACGTGCTAAAGAAGATCGGGGGCTGGTTTGCTCCTCCGCCGAACAAAGCAGAAGACGGCCGTGATGCCTGGCCATCCAGAGCATCCTTCCTCCTGGCCTCAATGGGTGGCTGTGCCGGAATGGGGAACCTGCTCCGGTATCCGTCCCAGGTGTACAACAACCACGGCCTTCAGTGGTATATCCCGTACCTGATGGCTGTATTTATTGTTGCCATTCCGGTATTGGTCCTTGAGATCGCCATTGGGCAGGCCTATCGCGGCGGTAGTGTCGTGGCATACAACAACCTTAATCAGAGGTTGAAAGGCACTGGTCTGTCTCTGCTTTATGTCGGATTCGTCGTCACCCCGTATTTCGTCGTCAACTTGGCGTGGATTATGAGCTATTTCCGGCACTCCTTTACCAGTCCGTTGCCGTGGACCGGTCGCGGTGAGGAGTTCTTCAACCAGGATGTCGTTGCCAACGTTGATCCGATTGAGGGTAGCCTCACAGCAGACGGCACCGGCGTCCTCAATTACACTCAGTATCCCGGGATCGCCCTTATTGGAGAAACAACCGGATGGGCAGCCTTCACCTTCTTTCTGATGTGGGTTTCCATCTTCCGCGGCGTTGGTTTGACGGGCCGCGTCGTCTACTTCACCATGGGTCTCCCCATCGTGGTAACCATTATCCTCATCGGCCGCTCCGTGTCTCTTGAGAACGCCGGCGAAGGTGTTAAGCTCTACTTCGCCACATGGAGAGGAAGTGAGCTGGCAAAAGGAACTGTTTGGCAGACAGCTTGCGGTCAAGTATGGTCTTTCACAGTTACATGCTCAAGTCCGGCTCTCCTTGAGTTCTTCCTAATGCTGTCAATGACTTGATGCAAAGTCTCTGTTTTTATTAACTGCTACATAGGTCTTCTTCAGCACTGGAGTTGGTTTCGGCTACTTCACGTCGTACGCCTCCTACAACCGCCAGTACTCAAACGCAGTGATGGATTCCATCTTGATCGTCTGCAGTAACGTTCTCTTTGAGAATGTCGCCGCTTTCGCCGTATTTGGAGTTGTAGGGTACTTGGGCATGCGGCCAGACCCTGAGAACCCCATCGGAGGCTTCACGGTCGGATTCTTGACCCTCCCCCTTGCTGTTGCCGAGATGCCCGGCGCCAACTTTTGGGCAGTGGCTCTGTTCTTCACTCTCATGGTCCTTGGATACAGCTCTGCCTTTGCCATGCTCGATGCCATCGTGACCTTAGTAATGGACACAGGCATCAAGTTTTCTCGTCCCATCGTCGTCACAGCCCTCACTATCGTATCGTTTCTTCTTGCGCTGCCGTATTGCACCGAGTTCGGATACTATCTTTTGACTAGCATCGATCGCTGGGTCAACGATGTCGCTTTGGTGTTCGTCGTCTTCGCCGAATGCATCACTTCCACAAGTGTCTATCGCTTTAAGGACGTTATCGGACAAGTGGGAAAGCCGGCCTTTATCATCTACAATACGTGCTACATCTTGGCGATGGTTCTAGGTGTAGCCGTTGCTCATGCTGTTCAAGCCGGGGCTGGGGCGGGTGTTGGTTTAGGGCTCTTCTTTGCTGGATGCATTGTATCTGTCCTCGTTGCCAAGACCCCTGACGCCACTCCGCCCAAGTTTTGGGGCAGCAATGCCTTTATTAGCCGATTTTGGTACCTCGCATTCTACTCCGTAAGTCGATATTTGATCAGTAACAGGAACAGTAGGCTTTTGCTAACATATTTTCAAAGGGTAACCAGCTTCGACGGGACCTGAATGTTGTCATTGGCAGTGGCAAGAACTGGAACATACCGATATTTTGGCCTGTTCTCCTGCGTTACGTCTCAGGCCCTATCTTGAGCATTGTTTACGGCTTCTCATACCCGGCATTCTATCAAGTCCGCTACGACCCTTTGCACATCCTTGGCTTCGCAGTAAGTCATGTCGCCCTGGTTATGATCTTTGCCGGTTTCATGGTTCCGCGATGGTTTAATGTCTTTATTCCGGCTCATCGGAGACACGAGGGCAAAATCCACTATGCCCCTCTGGTAATCATTGGTGCGGACGAGGCCCAGGCTATTGCAGCCGACAACATGGAGCAGGGGCACACGCCTTCTCACTCGGATGAGGGTGTAGGCCGCAAGGAGCCGCCTACTCACGACGGCCTGATCATGGAAGATGAGAAAAAAGCCAACATATGATACAACGGCCTCAGTTTACGTGCTCTGCTTCCTACTTTTATAGAAATAAAGCAACATTATCAGGATTAGATTCAGACCTTCTTTCTGAGCAGAGGCCCCAAGGACCATATACAATGCTCGGTTATATAGCCGAGGAAACGTAATAGCTAGGTTAGCAACGTTCAGCGACAGACATCGGAGGAAAGGATGCCGTCCAGATATCGAAAAACAATAAATAGTCGTCGACCTCAAAGTGTGCTTTGTACCCTTTTGCCCTCCTTTCCCTCGAGTCTCAGCGTTGAAGCCCCTCTAGCAGCTGCTAGTCTGGTCATGGTTGTGTTTTGCTACCTATCTATCTCCAATTGTGTTTCCAAATTGCGCAAGGATGCATACTACACAGCCGTACTCCTGCCCATTTTCGGCGTGGTTCTAGGTTCATCGTCAACCCGTGGACCATTAGCGCGTACTAACTGATAATGATGATACCCAAGGCGATTTGTCATAGATGTCTCTTGATTGGGGCCAGTTTGAATGGGCCGCACGTTTGCAAGCGCTTGCCGGACGCAAACACCTTGGTTATGATTAATCACAACACCAAGGTGCTGCGGCCTGTCGAGCTTCCTTGCGCAGACGTATTATGCATCAGACTTCACAGGCATCAGTTGCCTCATCACTCCGTTGGCTTACAAGCTATCTTCACCGTTGCTATCTAGCGTGACTTACAAGCAGTGAGCTTGCAGCTGGTGAATGCAGCTCTAGGCAGTGGGTTTGCCGTTGCGAGCAGATTAGTGCCACGTCATTGTACATGCTGCATGAGCAATCTGCTGGCCTGATTACTTCGTCTCTTTATTCGACCAAGACACAATGTCAGGTGATTTCCAGATATGCTTCCCCGCCTTTGTCCACCAGTCGGCCCTTCACGAGCTTATGTGATGGAAACCACAGGGCTGCAGTTGGCGTACATTACCGCAATTTAGTGGGTAGGAGGTCGCCATCTGTCACAATATATAAGCTACCATTACTGCCCACGTAGCTAACAGTATCATTCTATTGCGTGACAGTTATAAGCCTAGCTCCTACTTACTATATGCTATAATAGTATTTGTGTTAATTTAAGTTCAGTAACTGGCTATAGATCTTAAGCACTGTAGGTTTAATTCCTATTAAGGTCCCCTGGTCAAAAATCCTACTAAAGTCTATAAAGATCTTCACCACCTATGATTAGCAATATATACCTAACTAGGTTTTTATTAAAGTCTATATAGATCTTCACCACGTATAATTAGCGATATGTACCTAGCTAGGTTTTAATTAAAAGTGTGTTCAGATCTGACTTTCTAGGTTGAATCCTGGGGGGTATATCACAATATATAAGCTACTGTTACTGCCCACGTAACTAACGGTATTGTTTTGTTATGTGACCCCATCAAAGTAATCTGATACAATCTTACCACTACTATGTTGCTTGGCACACCACATCTACGCTTATGGTCTCCGTCGCTTAGGCATCTATTAGTCTAGAGAATCAGCCGCAGCCCCAGACTTAAAGGTCTTTTATCACCCGGGGGAAGTGAAATCAGCTACCTCTTTACCGACCCCATTCCACAGCACAGAAACCTTACATAAATACTTGGGTGTATTCAGCCTAGCAGCAACCCGTGCGTACGTAACACCGGTACTTTATAACGGCAACCATCATGGAGTCAATCGAAGAGACAAACGGAGCTTTCACTAGCGGTGATGAGCTCGCAGAACCGATCACGCAAACAATCGATTTGGGAAACGGTTCGGGAGACGTGACGATTATCCTCCGATACTTTCCAGAGCCAGATGAGCAGAAGACGGAGCTTCACGGACTTATAGTGTCGTCGGAAGCGATGGCTCGAGCTTCTCCTGTGTGGAAACAGATGTTTGCAGGTCAGTGGGCGGAGACCAAAGCCGGCCGCCGCCTCGTCCTCGATCACAGAGAAGACGATTACAAGGCCGTAGTAACCATCATGAACATCATCCACCTACGATTCAACGACGTTCCTCAGACCGTCACTCCAGGCGAGCTTAAGGCAATAGCGACCTTTACGGATCAACGCATGGCCACAGCTCTTGTTGTCCCTTGGATCGAGCGATGGCTGAAACACCTCTCTTGGTCTGTGGAAATAGTAGGATACGAAACTGAATGGCTCTGGGTTGCTTGGGAGTTCGGCCTGGCCGATGTATTCGACCGCGTTGCCTGCAGACTTGCGTACGGGGCACCTGTTCCAGTAGCTAAGTCTATACCACAACCCTCAATGGCCGGCACGTTAAGCCATTCTGGAGAACCGGTTTACTCGCCAGAAGAGCATGAAGTCCAGGATATTCTCTACGACGTTGATTTCAATATGCTTCCCCCAGGAGTCGAAGGTAAGTAAATTTGTCCAAGGCAGTATCAAGAACTAACGTTCTTTTGAAGATGTTATCAAGGCTACAAGGCGGGCAATGGTGGACCGTCTGCTGACGGAGGTGAACAATTATTTCGAGGCTCTATTACAATGGACGGAGGGCCCTGAACCATATCACGGAATATCCGCATCTATACCAGTTTGTGCCAATTCAAAAGCTGACTGTATCCGGCTACAGATAGGCTCGCTATTCCCTGTCTTGAATTCCCTTGGTCTGTGGCCAAAACCGACTTCAGCAGATTTGTCAATGAGCCCGGCTCAGTTGCGGGCGACACTTTTTAAGATTCAGTTGTCAGACTGTGTAAACAATAGTTTCATATACTTGTCAAAGAAGGAGAAGCGCAGTTGGTTGTGTAAATCCGGACGAAAATCATGCGGAATATTCTACGAGGTCTTGGACTGTCTGGAAAGCTTTACGCTTGAGCACCACGAGGATACCAACGAGATGCAAGTGAATCACCTTCAAGCACAGCAGGCCAAAATTGGTCTTAAATTCGAATATGTATCGACTGGAGGTTTTAAGCAGTTGCAATGAGAGAACGAAAGACCATCCACCAGGAGTAGAACGCTAGGGTCACTGCCTTGCCATAGAGTTGTGCTATCCATTGGCTGTAATAGAAGACCATCCCTGTTTCCTGTTTGCATGCACACTGGCATTTTCACAGTGTCCATTTGCTTATTATGATGGTAGGTTTGAGAAATCCAACTTCAAGTAGTTATCAGGCTGATGGCTACGTGCCTTGGCTCTCAAGACAAGTTAGTTACCGCAGAAATCCAGACGTAGAGGTACTCAGAGCCAGCAACCGACGAAACGTCTTACTCTGCCTCAATCTCAATTTTTAGCTGTTGGGGCATTGTATCACGCTCTCTCTCGCTTGTATTCGATATCGTATGCTTCGGGAAGTCCTGCGGAGCATTACAACGCTCTTGAGGTATGCTGTCGTAGCGATGCCCTCGTAGAATATACTTTTAGCTTGACCAGGGATCCTGCTTGTGTTTGCGGCCCAATATCACGACGTCATCAGGCCAAAGTAAAACCCCCATGTCAGATAAACATGGCCGCGCTTCTTCGATTATCTCAGCGAAAGGTACTTCGAGATTCTTGTGCAGATGCAGCACTCCTGGCCAGTGAGAGTCTCGACCTACGTGTGTCACGACTCAAACTGCCTGGTGGGGAGTTTTTACTTCCTCATAATACGATGCAGGTTACCAGAGATCTGCGCTCGGGCCACGGGCTGGAAGTTGCGAGCCAGAAGAGCCGAGGTTTGTTGCGCTCGATGGGTTTCACGGTTGGCTGTGATGTGCGGGGAGCAAAGCAACATATATTAATACGTACGAACCCAAAGATTCTAGACTAGCAGGCTTTGCTGTACGATCAAAGTTGCTCAAATCTTCATAGGTTTCAAAGTAGTCTAGCTCTTATACCTCTTTGACGAAAGTTGACCATCTTCACCATGCCACTGCGAGTAAACCTCCCCGGGCATCTTGCGTCGCGCGAAAATGGCACGGCGCGCATCGCCTCCGCATCTGGCTCTTGTGTGGACCGACGACATGGGTTAGCCGAGCTTGCTCGTGAAGAGAACATCCAGTACATCGTCGGCGACTGGATGTCAGAGTACAACATGGCTCTCCGAGGTGGCGCCAAAGCGAATCATCCGACCGACTCATCCGAGTTCGAGCCCTCTTTTCTCCAGGCAATTGAACCAGCACTGGAGTACCTCGACGCCAGGCGAATCAAAGTTGCGGTCAACGCAGGCGCGAGTGACACTAAGAAGTTGCACGATGTTCTGATGAGCATGATTGACGAGAAGGGCCTGAAGCTTAGAGTTGCTTGGATTGAGGGGGATGAGGTCATTGATGTTGTTCAGAAGGGACTGGAGTCAGGTGAACAGTTAAAGAACTTAACAACAGGTGGCTGCCAGCGAGACAACACTGAGTCGGGAGTAATGCTGACGACTAGCAACAGGCGAGAACATCAAAGATTGGCCGTTTGTCCCGGTCTATGCGCAGGCATATCTTGGCTGTTGGGGAATTGTCGAAGCATTCAGGCAGGGCGCTCACATCGTTCTGTGCGGCCGCGTAGCTGATGCATCGCCGACAATTGCTTGCGCGGCCTACCACCATGGCTGGAGCCGCAATGATTACTCGCAGCTAGCCCATGCCCTCGTTGCCGGACACTTGATTGAGTGCACCACGTACATCACTGGCGGCAACTTCTCGGGGTTCAAAAGTTTACCGGGGATATCTGTTGATATTGGCTTCCCTGTAGCCGAAGTCGAGGCAACCGGGGAGTTCTGCATTTGCAAGCAAGCCGGAAAGGGTGGCATGGTGACCCTCGAGACGTGTAAGGCCCAACTTCTTTATGAAATCCAAGGGCCTTACTATTACAACTCCGACGTTGTGGCCATACTCGACAACATTGAGATGACGCAAGTAGGAGATAACAAAGTGTACGAGATTCAGGCATGACCTTACACGTAATCATGCCGCCTTTGCTAATATTAGTTCAGACGGGTCTCCAATGTCGGAAACATCAAGCCACCGCCGACAACCAAGGTTGGCATAACTGCCAAAGGCGGGTACCAAGCGGAAGCACATTACTTCCTCTGTGGGCTGGATATTCAGGAGAAGGCGGCCCTCTTCGAGCGGCAGCTTCGGCATGTTTTGAACGAGAGGTCATTTTCCTGTCTGAAGTTTAGTACCAACGGATCGTGTCCAGTAAACCCAGCCAGCCAAGACGCCGCAACGGTTGACTTGCGCATCTTCGCCCAGGCTCGCGATGAAGAGGCTTTATCATCGTTGAGGTTCCTCAAGCCGATCGCGGACAACATCATGCAAAGCTACCCAGGTGCCACCTTCCACCTGGACACGCGGCAGGCATTCCCAAAGGAGTACTACGAATACTGGGTCAGCATCATCCCGCAGAGCGCCGCGAAGCACGTATGCCATTTGCCGTGGAAGAGTCAACAGGTGGGAATTGCTCCACCGGCAGATACCGTTGAGTTCGTATACGAACAGCCGACGTACGAAACCGAGAGCCCTATTGCTCTTTCTTCCCTTGGGCCGGCAACAACAGCACCGCTTGGGTACGTTGTGCATGCGAGATCTGGGGACAAGGGTTCGGATAGCAACATAGGGTTCTTCGTTCGGAATGCGGATGAGTGGGACTGGCTGAGGTCACTCTTAACCATCAGCAAAATCAGAGAGCTTTTGGGAGAGGACGATAAGGGGAAGCCCATCTTCCGCTTTGAGCTCCCACGGCTTTTTGGTGAGTGGCAACGATTCGACCCTTGAATTAACTCAATGCTGAATTGAAAATAGCTGTGCATTTTCTCCTAAAGGACCACCTGGATCGCGGGGTCACTGCCAACTCGTCATATGACTTTCTCAGCAAGAACGTGGCAGAGTATCTTCGATGCAAACACGTCGATATTCCGGATAGATTCTTGGCTCGGGGCAGAATTTAACCAATTTCTTTTGCCAACACACGGTTCAAAAGTCATCGGGGGCGATAACGAGATGTGCCAAGTCTCCCGCTGTATACCGCGCTTCCGAGACATCAGCGGGAGCGACCGAGCCAGCAGCAATGTGAAGAGTGGCGAACATCTGATTCACAGGATGGAGCAAATTCATCGATGTGAGCTGAAATGCGAACTAGTGGAATGATAGCTCCTGGAGATCGTCGATCGTTTTCTTCTACCTGATTCTGTGGATGGTTCTTCCCCTCGAGAATGCTGAAAGGGATGGCGCACTCTAGAAGTTTCTTTGAGTCCAAGTCGTTGCGCAAGCTAAGTACACTCTTTTACTTGAGACAATCAGTTCCATGAGTCTTGTGATGTGAGGCCCGGTGGTAGGAGTGGGCCTGCGTATGTGGTTGACGGTTTTGCCCCCCGTGACATACTGCTCAGAAACACCAAGATTCGTCGCGCCACTCCTCGCCATCCAGTCAGCTTCTTCATCGAGATAACGTGTGACCACCTCTATCCCCTCAAGAGCAATAAGGCCCCATCTCCACTGCGGGCACCAGTAATCACCCCGCAAAGGTCGGAATATGTATAGTACCTCTATTTACGCCTATTTTTGCCTATGCCAGAGGTACCAGCAATTTCCCTCCTTACAAAGAGCCACGTTACAAGTTAAGTAACTACAACAAGACTTTCTTTAAGACTTTCTTTACCAAGTGACACTATTCCTAGATATCTTACCTAGGGCTACTTGTCTTTATTATAGGCAATTCTGGGTACAGGCAACAGCAAGGTTGCCTAGTAGACCTTAATATAGTCCTGTATTTCTCTGGCAGCTCTAGCAGCTCTAGCAGATATACCAGAGGTCACAGAGGTATTAGAATCAGAAGACATCATTGAATAGTTAATTATGTTGATTTTGGTGGTGTTGCTATACAAAATAACATTAAGATAAATAGTGTTGCGTCATGTATTCTTGTCACGTGCGCGTAGTGCGGAGAAATAAGTGGAGATGGGGCCTTATTGCTCTTGAGGGGATACTGGAGGTTTCAAGCCGCGGAGGATGTAAGTCAAAGCACCCACATATGAAACACCCCCACATATGGAACACCCAAAACATCGCCATCATGTCAACTACCACCCTTTTTAATTAACTATTAACATTTACTAGATGCAACAATAATATAGCTTTTGGCCTTACTAGGTAATTCTGATGCGCTAGATTTATCTAGCTTACTTTTAGTATTGCTAGCCTTACGCTAGGCTTACTATACCTCTTTAATTATTATAAACTTTATGTTTAGATCTAGAGTAACTGCTTTCCTCTTCCTGCTAATAGCATTATTAACCTTGGCCTAGAGAAGCTCTATTTAGTGCTAGGCAGTAGCTAACTTAAAGGACTACTGTTAAAAGCCTTTTTTAACCTTTCTAAAGAGCTAGCGTTATATAATAATGTTTTACTCTAGTTAGTCTAGTTAGCTAAATAGATATAGTTAATCCTTAAGGTCTTTTACCTTCTTTAGTGTAGACTACTTAACTACTAATAAGGCAGATGCCTA